AGGCCATATGTTGAAGAGCATCCAGAGGAGTGGAGCACATACCTTCCTTTGGCAGAATTTGCAGTGAGGAATGCTATCAACGTAGCGACCGGATACAACCCGTTTTATTTGATGTATGGGCAACATGTACAGGCTCCAGTGGGACTTATGGCCAAGAAGACAGTTGACACGAGGGTAGAGTTAGTGGATGTTATGGTCAGCAGGATGCAGAAGGTGGTGTCCAGTGCTGTGAAGCATTATGAAAAGGCACAGGAGAGGATGGTTACAACTGCCAACAAGCGTCGTCGTGATGTGCAATTCAAGCCTGGAGATGAAGTTGTGGTGAGAACAACATTTTTGCCCTCCACAGCTTTCAAGCATATTCCAGTGAAGATCAGGCGTCGTTACATTGGACCTTTTCAGGTGGTGAAGGCAGTTTCCCCAGTTGCATACACTCTCCAGCTACCATCAAACTGGCGCATTCATCCGACCTTCCACGTCGAGAAGCTGAAGAAGTTTGAGCGTAGTGAGACGTTTCAGCACACCGTCAGTTCGCCTCCGGAGTCACTAGAGGTCGAGGGCGAGCAAGAGTTTGAAGTTGAGGCGATCATCAGACATCGTGGCAGCGCTTCCAGAAGACAGTACTTGGTAGCCTGGAAAGGCTATGAGCTTCATGAAGCAACCTGGGAGCCAGAGGCCAACCTCACGCATTGTTCGGACCTCGTTGCAGAATACCTCCTCAGGCTACAACGACAAGAGGCAATCACGAAGACCAGACAAAGTCGCCGAAAGAAGTGATGGACTGCGTGGACATATGGATAGCAGGGGTTCATTATGAGTTGGATCGTGGTATGGGACACGGTTAGTCTGACTTATTGTGGATTTCTGTTGGGTACGCCGTATCTTCTTTCTTGCTGGTTTTCTGGGTCGTTGGTCTCGTGGCCGAGGACGGCCACACTTGGTGGGTGGGGGGGAGAATTGATACGGTTGCTTTTGTAGATGAGTTAGATATATTTGATTACCCTAAATGGGTCTGAGTTGGGTAAACTAGCCTTGTGGTGGTTACAAAGGACATGGGACAATGAACAGAGCAATTAAAGACAATCTTGTATAATGTACAAATGTAGTAACCGCCCGGGGATTCCGACTCCCCGTTTCATCCGACCTGTGCGCCCGCGGGAGCAACGAAGCTCCCTGCATCACACGTGGTGGCGGAGGGTCGGAGAGCCATGGCCAGAAGCGCTGGTAATACTCACCAAACACACTAAGTACTGTTCGCCAAACCAAAATGTAACTATTTCAAAGTATAGTACTTGTTCAGTACTGTGCCAAAGTACCCCACAAACGGGATTTATCAGCTCCTTTTTTAGGAGCTGTTGAACAGCATGCAAGTCCCTTTTTCAGGGACCAAACATTTACCATGTTCAAGCAAATGCAACGCATGCTTCTTCAACATGTTTTGCCCCAAACCAACCTCACAACCATTTCAGGGAATGCAGTTTCTTCCCTAAAAACTGCCCTACAACACCCCATACTCTCACAGCTCTTTTTCAGGAACTGCTGAGCGCTTGTACACATCCCTTTTTTTAGGGATTCAGTCGTGCACCCGTTGTACTCAAACACCAAACATGCCTTTTCAGCATGTTTCCTCAAAACGGATTCTGAACTTCAGTTTCTTATCTTGAAACTGATTCTGCAGTTCTACATAACCTCACAACTCCTTTTTCAGGAGCAACACCACTTTTTCAGTGGTAAACACTCAACATATCATTCCAATCTCCAGAGCAGCACCACTTTTACAGCGGCAGCTGTATATAACCACTCCTTCAGTGGTAAGCACCAACTATTCCCGCCCAATTTTCATGAACATACCACTTCTTCAGTGGCAGCCAGTCACTACCACTTTTTCAGCAAACAATGCTGCCCTTTTCCAACGACAGCGCCACTTTTACAGTGGCAAGTAAGCTCCAGCCACTTCTCCAGTGGCAAATACACTTTTCATCAAGTCATACGCGCCAAAAGGATGCACCGTGCATCATGCATGAGTTGGAAAGCAACATTAGCTCAGTGCCATGCTGGGGAGAGAGACATCCCGGCATGTTCCTTAAGGTACATGCCTGTAAACCGAGCGGCCGGGGGCACAGCCACACAAACGCACATTTGAGTGACCCCATGGCTGGAAAGAATCATCAGCCACCGGAGCACCCTCTCATGCACAGCTAGACCAATCATGGGCGCTCTGATCGTTCCAAAACTCCTTGTTCAGGAATCTTTCCTTTTCTTCGTCACTTGTTCAGTGACTCTCCCACATTTTTTCTGGTCTTGTCACTTTTCCAGCGACATTCAGAGCACCAGAATAAACCCAGCGCTTGGGACCACCGAAGAGCAGGCTGGCTGGGTAAAACACCAACACAGCCCCACGCTGAGGAAAGACACATCCCAGCATGTTTCTTGGGGCCCAAACTACTGAACAATACGGCCCAGAACACAGCTCTGTGACCGTTAGATCAGACTCTACCCATAGCTGTTTAGAGACATCAGCATATGGGATCGAATCTGGACCAAAGTGATGTGATGACATGGCCAGCAGCACGGCCAGCATGTATGTTTTCTCCATAGCAATATTGCAGCTGTGGGTGACTGATGAAGTGAACACATGCAGCCTCAACAAAGGGTAGTCCACCCTGGAAAGTGCCATCAGGTGTGGGCCTAAGCTTTCAGTCATGCATGGTTCTTCTCTAGCCTTTTTCAGGCCAGCAACCTCATAGCATTGCGCATTTGGCTTTGAGGCTGGACACACGCCCAAACTGGGCGGTATCCTTATTCAGGATACATGGCCCCACCAGATATTGAGAGCCGCGGTCAATACTGGTGAGGCAGCTTTCACTGAAATACTCTTGCTGCGTAGGGTGTCGCTCAGTCGTCACCAAGCTCCCCTTGAGGCAAAACTCCTCTCAACTTTCATGACCAGCTTGCTGTATTACCAAAAACGCAAGCACTTGACCAGTTTTTGTTCTTGTTTTTGAATTTTTCTTTTTCTAGCCGGTGGTGGCATACTCGGGCCATCCCACACAGTCAGCATGCGTGTCAGACATGCGTCCCTCGCCAGCTGAATCATAAGTGACTCACCCAGTGAAACGGTGGTCATTATGCAGCTGCGCGAACATTTTGTTTACAATGATATTTTGGTTGCTATAGTACTTCCCACTGGGGACCAAAAGTGCAGCCCTGCGGGAAGCCGTGTGAACCTGTTGCTTCATGTTTTGTGCCTGTTCCGCCTCTGCGCCTCCACCGGACACCCAGCGGCCGCCCGGGGCCGATCCCCAAGCAAAAGCCGGGCCCAATCGCAGTGCCCATTGGCCACGACAATTGCCAGTCCTTGGCCTGCTCTTTGGATTTCCAGCAAAGCACAGCTCACCACGGACGGCTTTCGGAAGCGCAACTTGGTTGGGGAGCGGGCTGCGTCATCGCGAGGAACGCCTGTGACGGCATGCGTGCAGATTCAATGGCAGCATATCCCTAAAGAGTGTCTGGTTTCAGTCAACAGCGCCTACTAAACCCATCCCGGGCGCCTGCACTCATTAGGGCACCGCTCAACCCAGCTAGGGCGCACTGACGTGATGCCTCACCCTCGCTTGGCCTCTCCAGCCCCGCGCCTATGTATTGCGCGGCCCCCCTTGAGATGAGCACCGGCGAAGTGGCTCACTTTCCCCTCCGCGCTGCCGCCTGGCAGCCCTGCCGGGGCCCCAGCCGCGTGCCTCCGCCACGGGGGCTGCCCCCCGCTCCGGTCCCTCGCATCCTCCCCGCGCGCGATCCACCGGCCGCATCCGCCCAACTCCCCGAGCACATCCCTCGGTGGCCAGCATCGGCCGAGGGAAGGCGCAGCAATCGGCCACCTGGGCGCCTGTGCGTCGCGGGCCACGCGCGCCGTGGCGGGTCTGCACTGGGGATCGGCGCATCTCCAGGTGGGCTCCAGCCCAGTTGGCGATCGGAGGTCCTGAGCGCGGCAAGGAGGGATTGGTCTCCGGCGGTTGATCAGGTGGGTTGGGCGGGACCGCAGGGGAACGCGCGGGGTTGGGACTCGCGCAGTGAGTGTCGGGTCGGAGCTGGCTGTGTATTTCCTCCAGCTGAATGTTGTGTGAGGCGCGGGGTAAGAGGAGATTCGAGTGTTGGACGCGGGACTGGCGTGTGAGCGATGCGGGGCGCCGGGGACGCCGTGGGCGCTCCGCGGGTCCGCGGTCCCAAAAGATGCCTGCCGCTGATGAGGCCGCGGGCGCGGAGCGAGGGCGGAAGGCGGGAGGCCGTTGTCGCGCGGCGGGGCAGCTTGGCTGCAGCTGGGGCCGGTGTTCAATCGGTGCGCCGCGGCATGCCTTGCTGCGAGGGCATTGGCGCGCCCAGCGGCCGCCGCTCCTGGCGCCCGCTGGGTGCCGCCGGCGGCAACGCCAACGGTCCCGGATTCTGGAGGTTTTTTTGGGGGGTGGTTAGCCTGATATTGCCCTTCCCGCAGAATGTCTGCGCAACTCGTGCCCCAGAGGTATCTGCGCTGGTTCTGGTGCGTGGGTGGGCCTGCTGACCCAGCCGGTGGCGCCAATGCATCCGCGACCGCGACTCACACGACCATGTGCTGCGTTGAACTGGCGGAGACTGCTGCCTGGGTCCTGTTGGGGCGAAGGGGGGCGCCCAATCGCGGGTCTGGCGCGTTGTGACGCCAAGGCTTGGGGTTCAGCACGCCGCCAGGCACCACGGTGGTGTTGGTGTAGGCACCGTTACGGCACGGCGGACGCAAGACGGTGCCTGCTGATAGCTAATTTGTGCAAGTCCATGTGAGCCCTATGGCGCGCCATGGATGTTCAGATATCTTGCAGCGACGTCGCCTCGTTGCTGACGTTTGTTACAAAGCAAAGACAAGATGTCATACACAGGGCACCCCCTTCAAAGCGTCAGACTTCTTTCCATGCTGTAAAGATGATACAGTGCCTCCCCAGCCCTCATTGCGGGTGGTTTGTGTCTTGTGCGCAGCAATGGAGGACCTCTCGGAGCTCACCACCCTCACGGCACAGCTGAACGACAGGCTGCAGGACAAGATTGCGCAAGTTCGCGCTGAAATGGCGCGCCTACAGGAAGAGAAGGCGGAGTTCGAGGCCGAGAAGGCTGTCATGCAGTGCCTAGCCTCCCAGCAGAGTGATGTCATCAAGCTCAATGTTAGGGGAAAGCACATAGAAACGAGGAGGTCGACGCTGTGTCAGGTGAGGCTGGCAACACTGGCCAAGACACCCAGCCCCAATGTTGTTTGTCTGTTGAAACTGGGCCCTGACAAAGTGGCAAGGGACGTTGCTGTGGTTTGCGCAGGTGATGAATGTTTGCTTTTTGTATCTCAGGTGGATGGGTGCCTTCTGCAGTACATGTTCAGCGGGCGGTGGGAGGACAGGCTAGAAAGGGATGCAGAGGGCCGTGTGTTCCTGGACTACAACTCATACTGCCTTGAGAAGATACTAGACTTTTTGTGGGCTCTGCAGGTAGGAAGGGGCATTGTCCCTAGTTTCATCCTTGTGGCAGCGGATCCAGGTTCATGTGTTTTCATCCACACTGTCCATGGAATGTTTCATGCAGATGATTGAAATTAGTGTCACTCGATTGCCAGGTACTGGCACCTTGTTTTGGCCTGGCTTTGTGGCAGGATACTGACACTGGGGTTTGTTGTGACAGCTGTCTAGTGCAGAATACCCTGCACCCTTGCCAGAAGTCAAACCTGATGAATCTGCCAATTTCCGGTTGCTGGTGAGATATTTGGGCTTGGAGGAGTTGATCTATCCAGAGCTGAAGCGTTTCAGCGATGAGCTGAAGACTGCGGAAGTGCAAACCCTGGATTCTGGACTTCGAGCTTTGCAAAAAGCAGGGAAGGATGCCTATCAGAGCGTTTTTGGACATGGAGTGTTTGTGAACGAGGTTGTAGAATTCCGGCTGAAGATTGAGCAGTTGAGGAATTCATACAAATGGATGATGTTTGGAGTAATTCCTGAAGATTATCCAGCAACAAGGAACAGCCATGAAAAGTAAGTTTGTTCAAGACACGAGCAGCTGATTGGCATCTATAGAGTTGTGCTTCAAGAAGATTGATCTCATCCTTAAGGACTTTCTTAGACATTTGAGTGTGTAATCGATAATGTTTGGCTGTGCGATCGTTATGGAATGGCTTTTTATATGTAGTGCACATGCAGTGCTGATTCCCCTTGTGTGACCAGGTTGCAGTGCAAGCAAAGCAGCACCGCATGTCCTGAACAAAAGAGACTACTATTAGATCACGGACGATAGTGCCCCTACCGAGTTGAGCATCAGGGCTGATGTCAGGAATGCGGGGGGCGCTATCTTGCGCGGACCCATGCTATTTTCCGCGCCCCCCGCATTCCCCACGAAGCCGCTGACTCAATAGCCCCCCCCCCCTCTCCCCTTGTTTTCACATTGGTTGGTGTACCGGCAGCAAAGCGTACCGGCGCCCTGACAATTTGGCGCATTACATCGGGCACCATTCATGGCAGGAGCCAAAATCTGTGACAAAAAAGTGACGGGACGCCACAGCTCGTTGCACTACGCCTCAACCCCTGCACTGCCAGATTGACTGGCAGATCGACCCGGCGTCTGGCCAATATAGCACATAACACAGCATTACACAAGGCGCCAATCATAGCGCCAACCAAAAGCAACGAATAATGACAGCTAAATGGGACGTCACACTGCATTGAGAATCTTGGGGACATGGTGTTTGATTGAAGGAGGAATGTCATGGCACTGTTTAGTTGGAGTGGAATTGATAACATTGGGATTATAACGTGTACAATGCGATGTAAGAATGCAGGAGAATGCTTGTGCAATTTGTGACTATATGATGCTGAAGCGACTACTGCAGCTCCCCTCCGCCGCGCTATCTTGCGTAACTGCTGGGCTCCGCAACACCGGCCATGTTTGATAACGCTGGGGGCGTTATCCAAAGGCCAACGGGCTATTCAACATCCCCCGTGCTAGCCTCTGTGATCTACGGTACTGTTCTAGAACTGGCATGTTTGGTTCCAGCTGGTGCGCCTCCTTTGAGCTTGTGAGCGAGAATTGCTATGGCGATTGTTCTGTGGCAGCTTACACTGTCAGTCTTTGCTGCCTCCGCTGACTTAGGAACTTCCCAACAGTTTGCTCACTAGTCTGTAGCCAAGCACTGCCTTTGCGTTTTCTGAGTCACCTGCTTCGCTCCAGGGCTGTCTACCATATCCCATATCAGTCCTGCTGTAAGTTGCAAATGTGGCCTGTGTGGGTCCATTGTGCACACACCCGCAGTTTGCCTGCTATCTGCTGGCCACTGCTCACGTCTTGTTTGCTTTTCACCCAGACAAGGCAGCTTTGGATGGTCAACGAATGGAAACACCTGGATTGCAGGCAAGAGCACAAGGAGTTACAAAGGCTTCAAGTCTGGAGTTCTTGGTGAGGGCTCTGAAGTCGCCATGACACTGGATTGCAGACCGAGGCACAACACACTCACGTTGCACATAATTGGGACGCCCAACGAATACCAGCTGATGGACCTCCCTCGCAATCAGTGGCGGCTACAGGTTGTGCTGTATGGAAACGGCGACGAAATTAGGATTCAGAATATCAAGAAATTACCAGGCTCACAGATACTCAAGTGAGCCGCAGACACATGCATGTGGGTGGTGGTATACGATACCCGCTCCTGTGTCTTATAAGCAAATGAGCAAATAAAGGCAGTGTCCTGTAGGCAGCATGAGGGTCCTGCTTGCTTGTCTGGTTGTGTGGATGGCCTGGATTGGATTCAAGCTACGGGAGTCGCCTTCTATGGGGTGACGAGGCTGCCAGGCAGCTTGCACGGTGCCTGTACGCTTGGCTTCGGTACCGAATTGTTCTGAACGCGTATTGCGGGTGTGGACGACCATTCAGGGGCTGTTGTCGGTGGGACGCGACACTCGCACATGGGTGTAGATGTGAGAAGAGGAGGGATGAACGGGCGCTCCATGGGATGCTCTTTGGCTAGTGTACTTCCAGTTAGGATATAGAAGATGAGCGTGGGTGAATATTGGCTGGGATCTTTGCGTGGTCCCTGTGCTGATGGGTGCATTGCAGTTTTTGCAGTGGTGGCAAGGTAGAAGGGTAGGTGGAAGGGGAACAGGGGCATTTTCAAGGAATGGGAGCAATTTCAAGGATAGGGAGCAATTTCGAGGAAAGGGAGCAATTTCAAGGAAAAGTAGGAAGGCTTGCAGGTTTCTACTGGAAGAGTATCTGATGTGCAATATGTGGCATGATGTTGTACTTCAAGTGGTGATCAGACCCTCGAGGTTGTAACAGTTCCAGTTGATTGATTTGCCAGGCACAGCGGCGATGGCCTGGCGATGGAAATATGGGTCTGAAAATGTGCATCGGTCACCGCCAAGACACAGGGTATCAATATTGGCTGTCAGTGAGCAGGCTTGGCTTGAAGAAACCAGAGGGGGGTCTGCCAGCATGCAAGTTCAGGTTGGCAGGGGAAGTCATTGCTACAGCTCAACGGCCACCTATCCATGCCGCTCAGGACAAAGCGCGTTGGTCCCTGTGTTATCCGATCGTCATTACGCGCACGACTGCAGCTGACCTTCTATGCGCAGTCCAGCTGCTCAGCAGCTTCTCGTTTTGCCTGTCAAGAGCCCTGCACATCAGGGATAACATAACAACAACAACATGTGGTTTGCAGAGCCAGAGGCTAACAACACCATGCTTGCACTACAGGTGAGGTGAATGCAGCTGGAGAGTTGGTTGGTCAATGGGTAACGATGAGGCTTTGGATGTGTCTTGAACAGAATTGAGCAACGTATGCATCACAGGTGAGTGTCTATGCGCTGTAGAGTGTCAATGGCCACCATGACGAAGGAACCGGGGTAAAGGTCTCTTGCACTTCATACTGTGCACTGCTGCATGGTTTTCCTGCTGCTCTTGGAAAGCCTATTCATCATGTTGCCGTCAAGACAGAGTCTCAAAATCATGCTGAGGAAAGCTGTGCGCACTGTATCTGGCTTACTGTGCTGTCCGGATAACCAATACTACCAATGCAGGGACGCCCGATTAGAAGACCGTTCCTGTTTCTCTTCATCCAATGTTCTGCAGGTAGAAGTGAACCTATTTTGATTTCAGAGTGAACCCACATTCCTGTTTGGAATGTTCATAGGCTGCACAATGCCAATCCAACCAATCGCTAGGAACAACAAACACGACACACGAACGAACGAACGAACACGGCACATGCAGCTTTCGACAGCTACACTTGCGTCAATTGCGCATACTGCAGGAACAAGATGAATGGACTCGTGGATGACAGATGCGGGTCGGTGATAGTGGACACTTCGCTGTACCACACTCCTGAAGCAGCCCTGCAACGAAATTACAACAATCCACAGATCTCTTCTTCTCTGTCAACTACAAGGTACCTCACGCATATACAACGTTTTGGTACGAAAAAATCAACAGAACAAATGATAAATCATGCTGAAGGAATGGGCTGTCAACCTTGGCAAAAAAACATCTGCTGGATGCTGACCCTAAATGCGCTCAAAAACATATCCCATTCCAGTGCGTTCTGGCACAGCCCAAACATTTACCGCTTGTTGGACCATACTTGCGTGGCGCACACCGATTCTAGTCCTGCCCACAAGTGCACGACTGAGGGACTGACATTACGCCACTGCAGCCTCTTCCAAAAATTCTGCCAAGTCCAGAGCAGGTGTTGCGGTTGCCTCCTCTAGAGACATGCGCTTGGCCACCAGCTCGAAGGCTTCAATCACATCCCCTTCTTTCCAGTCCTTGAAATCACAGGCAATTCCACACTCCACTCCCTCAGAAACCTAGCAAACCATGAAAACAATTAGACCAAATTGTGGAATGGAGCGCTGGGACACAATTGTGGCAGTTCGTTCGCCGTTGCCCCTTGCATTCACTGGGCCTTTGGGAAATGGCATTCATAACGCACGTAGCACGCGACGCATATAAGCACATCAGCATGATGCGACGTCCAATAACCCAGGCGGGCATCCATTCTCCCCCTGCATTCTACCATCCATTTGTTGGTTTTGTGCACACTACACACGCATCCGATCTGTGCAGCAGTTCATTACCGGGCAGCAACAGTTTCGGTGTCAGGACCAGCAGGCATCCCATCAATTGGGCAAAGAAAACATACCCTCTCTCTGGCAGGCCATACCTCAGTGACGTTGTCTTTAACCCTCCGCAACGAAGTGATAAGCCCTTCATGCATTACTTTCTTCTTGCCCCTCTTCACGACAAGCAAGGCTGTGTTCGATACCTTGCCTTCAGTCACCATACAGCCTGCCACACAACGGTCCCCACTGCCAAAGACGGCTCGAACCTGGATTCAACCGACAACAGCAGCAACGATCAGCTTTCCGCGAATTTGTCAGCAGTTTCTACCGACCCGAAAAAACAGCAAGAATCGGTAAACAGTATTGTTGACAGCATCCATTGGGAAGTCAGCTAGAGCACGTTGCTCGCTGTTTCACAATGTGCTCACCTCCGCCTTGCCAAGTGGAACTTTCTCATCCACAGGAGACAGTCTGCCCTCCATGGCAGCACGAATGTCGTCAAGCAAATCATAGATCACAGTGTACGTCCGCACCTCGACACCTGCAGAAGGTTTGGATATCAAAAGCCACACATAAAGAAGCAAGCACAATTCCACCACATGTCAGCTGAATACAGCTAGGGCACAAGGCAGCCATTGTGGTCAACAGCACTGTGGCACATAGCAATTGCACAAGAAACTGCAGGACCACAGACACATGCAAGTGTACTACTCCTCTGGGCATTAAACTCGATCTCAGCGATCTCACATAGATTTTGCAGGAGAGCTGCAATTGTTGGCCAGGACCAGCAGCAAGCGCACAAATGGATGCCATTCAGACCGATGCCTGATACTGAGGACTAGACTGTTCCAAAAGGACAACATATCATACAAGTGCTGCCATCCAAAGTAGCCAATGTCCACATGGTTCGTTTATGTCTCTGCGTCTCTTCTTGCACTCATGTTTCAATAATGGGACCACTATGAAAAAAAGGGCCTTGCAGCTGTTCCATCCTGGACATCCCACAGAAAACAGTGATGGCTTCACACCACAAAAAGTACCTCTTCTCTTTGCCGCAGCTTGGACATTGAAACCCACCACCATCCCTTCTGCAACCTGTGCCAGGTCCAAGTCTGATTCGGTGATATCACCAGTCCCCGTGTGAAGGAATCGGAGCATAACTGAATCTTGAGGCAATTGATTCAGGGCAGCTTTCACAGCCTCCACAGAGCCAGACGTGTCACCCTGCACAATTGCCAGAAGTAGTTGGATAGTTAGCCTGACAGAAGTCGCCAAGCACCCAAACTAACTGCAAAAATGCTGAATACACAGCAGCAGTCTCATTTTGGGCATGGAAATTCTGTCAGTGCATTTCCTGGCTCAGCAGCATGGTTCCTACCTTAAGAAGGATGTTTAGCCTCTGTATTCCCTCCAATGACTCATCAATGGACGCCAGGGAAGACAGCGTCACCATGCTGCCTCCTCCAGATTGTTCTACCAGGTGTGCTTCTCGAAGCACTTCCGCAGCTTTCTGAGCCTGTTCTCTGGCCTGTCCCCAAAGGCAGATGAATAGACAATATCCATTCAGTTGTGTCAAGACACCTTACCATAACAATGGTGCTCAGCCCACTTTACAAAGCAGCAGTGAACAGCCCATCAACACAGTGGAAAGTTTGGCACCTATTTGCATTCACAGGAGGACGCCCAGAACATCCAAAGCAACACACGCTCAGATAGCAATTTTTGCCTTACCTCAGCTTCATTCAGGCAGACAGCAAATTCATCACCAGCTGTTGGGACGCTATTCAGACCAAACATTTGGACAGGCGATGCGGGGCCTGCTTCCTCCACACGACTCCCTTGCCAGTCTTGAAGAGAACGAACCTGGCACCAGTGATGTCGAATTCAGCTGCCATGCCATTCAGCTGTCTCCCAGAACCTCACGCCACAATATCGGTAGCATAATTGTGCCACAGATGGGCAAATCAGCAAGGCCACCTAGTGCTAGTGACATGCATGCCTGTCAGCTGCTGCTGATCGCCCTGTTCAACCTGTTTAATGTCATGTGATGGAATGCTTGGGAAGTGTACCAGCGATGTATGTGTAGTTAGGTCTGCATGCAGGAGCTGGACAACAAGGAGGGGCACAAGACACGGCCGCACTCCCTTGTGCAACCCATACACGCCAGTGCAGAGACAGCCAAATCCCATATCAGATGAATACAGCCGAGGAAATCGAAGCAACCCTGCACAACAACTGCACACATGAACAGGACAAGGAAATGCATACACAACAGAGAATCGCAAAAGATGCCGATCCATCATTCGAGTTCATGCTAGTTTGAACATGCATGCTGAACCAAACAATAGGCACCTGATTATGGGAATTTTCACCTGAGCATGCCACCACAAACAACATACCTTGCCATACGAAGCTCCAGACACAACAACATCCCCAACATGGAGAGTGCCATTCTGCACAAGAACTGTTGCAGCGGGACCTGACTTCCTGTCGAGATGCGCCTCGATCACCATCCCAGCAGCTGACCTATCCGGATTGGCGAGCAGTTCAAGCTCCACTTCCGACATCAGCACTATCAGTTCCAAGAGATCATCAATGCCTGTTGCAGAAACAGCCAAGGTTTACTCTTGACAGAATAACACTCTCAAAGTGGCAAGCACAAAACCACAGCGCAACTACCTTGCCCGCGATGAGCCACACAATGTGCACCCTGTACCTTGGCCTGTTTTGGCACTGATTTCCACCATTGGAGTGGAACCACCCCACTCTTCTGGAACCAGCTCCAGCTCTCCAAGCTCCTGCTTTACACGATCAGGATTGGCGCCTTCAACATCCATCTTGTTGATAGCAACAATGATGGGCACCTTTGCGGCCTTTGCATGATTGACAGCCTCCTTGGTTTGGGGCTGCACGCCATCAGTGGCTGCCACAATGACAATCGCAATGTCCGTGGCCCGGGCACCCCTTGCCCGCATGGCGCTGAATGCCTGCATACAGGCAGTACAGTCAAGCATAAAACGTCCAGAAGCAAAAGCGCAAGCAAGCAAATTGCTCCAGCAGAATACGAAACTGCATCATAATGGACGTTCATAATTAATGGACATAGTGTGATGAACAATCTGGATTCTTGGGCTGCTTCACCAACACGGACAGAGCACAGAACGCTGCATTGTAGGCACCATAATGTTTGCTGCACGATTGGTATTTGCTTGAATCGGTGTCCCCCAGCGAGGTGGACCCAACACTCACCTCATGACCAGGAGTATCCAGAAAACACACTCTCTTTTCTTCATCATCGACAGTCACTGTGCAGGTGTACGCCCCAATGGCCTGTGTAATGCCACCAGCCTCTCCCGCAGCAACCTGCCCAAATGAAGGCACACATTGTTACAATGTGCACATCGCACCAAGGGTGATACAACAAACAAGATCCAATACTCAACTAAATATGGCAAATGCGAAGTTGGGCTTTGTTGTCTATCATCACTTTCCTCGACTTAGCTGGGATGAATCAGTAGCAACATCGGAGGATTGGGCTCAGGGAGTGCATCACTATGTGCATTCTCACCCCAGCTTGTCGAATGTAGTCCAGCAGCGTTGTCTGCAAAAAAGCCAGTATTGTTTCAGCACCAAACCAAGAAATTATCGATCCACACAAAACCTTGCACCATAGTAACAGGAGTTGTGCACTCAATCCATTGTACAACCCATTCAAGCCACTGTACAGCCCTTGCAATTGCAGTCATTGCCCCTCCACAACAAGCACTGGGAAGCAGCAGACGTGAAGTGCAGCCATGTCTCCGGACAAGTGCGTATATGCCCATCATCGCCTTCAAGGGGCAGGGGTTCCCCTGTGAAAGCAACAGTAGTTTCGTCTCCGTTGCAGGAACCCACCTTCCCATGATCGACATGCCCCATCACCGTCACCACCGGCGGCCGCTCTTGTAAGTGGTCAATGTCCTCCAGATCGATGAAATCGGACGTCTTCACCGCCTTGCTCTCCACGGCCTCCTCGTCCTTGTTCACCAACTCGACCCCCTTCTCCGTCGCCACAACCGTCACCGCGTCCCTGTCCAGCGTCTGCGTTATCTGCACCATTATGCCCTTCATGAACAGAGCCTTGACCACCTCCGCGGGTGATATCGCCAGCCGCTTGGCTAGCTCCGTGACGGCCATCCCCTCGCTCCCGACCACGATCCTGTCCTCCCCCTCGTCGACCGTGACCTTGCTCATCCTGGTCAGCTTGCGCTGCTGCCGGGCCTTTCGTCGCCTCTCCACCGTCATTCTGAACCCCTCCCTGCGTCCCTCGGCCTCCCTCCTGCCCCTCCCTGCGCCCTTCTTCTCCCTGTCCTCCCGCCCCGCCCACGCCTTCCCCTGCGCGCCGCGCTTGGCAAACTGCTTCTTCTTCTCGCCATCCCGCCTCCTGGCGCCCTCTTGGTCCGAGGCCTGCGCACCGCGCGACTGCCGCCCGCTCCCACCCGCCTCCCTTCCCCTCGTCTGCCCGCCCGCGTCCTTGGCGCCGTTCCTGAGCGCCGGCTTGGCACCCAGCTCGGGCACGCTCAGCGGCTCGGACTCTAGTCCGACCTCCAACCCAAGCCCAGATGCATCCGCCACAGAGGGCGATCCCTGGCCTCTGCCATTCCCGCTGGACGCGCCGCCCCTCGTTCCCCTATCTCCCACTCGCCGGCCATTGGCATTGGCCGTCATGCGCCCCTTCGACCCAATCCCGGCCACATCGCCCAATCTTTCCGACCCGTTCCGCTTGCGCAGCCTGCTGGGCCTGGCGGAGCGCCCGCCGGCGCCGCGCCTGACCTGCTTGGGCGACGGCTTGGTCGCCAAGTTGGGGGCGGCATCCGGATTGGGATCGGGCGCTTCGTCCTGCGCCCGAACGCAGATGAGGCTGCGGGGCGGCCCCAGCGCCGCCGCCCTGAGGCACGCAGTCCGCGTAGGGAAGGCGGCGCAGGACATGCCGCCCGCCGGGAGCATCCTCGCTCGCGGCGGACGGGGTGCGCCGTGGAGGAGGCCGAACGTGGGGTGGGAGGGATGGGCTTGGATTGACTGGCCGCTTGTGCCACCAAAATTTGGGACTGACCAGCCCCATAACGGAATGTACTGGGTGGATATCCCGAAGACGGGGCCCCAAGACGCGGTTTTTGTTCATAGTGCTGAATGACCCAATCCCTGTGCCTTTTGGACACGGCGCCTTTGCTGCGACTTGTAAGCCAACAGGGTGGCACAATGTTTCGGTTTAGGCATGCCAACTACTGAGCCAACGGGTCGGCTCTATGTTTAACCTGTTCTGCATGGTGACGCGATGTTTTGCCCTTCTTTGCAGAGCGACGAAGACACAAAGGCGATGCTCGTGTGGCAAAATGCCGAGCAAAACCTAGCTATAAAAGCGACAGATTCAGAGCGCAGCATCCCCGGCAGTGGCCTGGGCGATTGCATTCGCTGCCCATCTGGACCATGCTCACAAAATGGTAGATACGGTCTTGCAGACGACCTTGCTGGGCAATAAGATTGCAGTGCGATCAACGGGTACTCCTTGCATCCCTCGCCAAAGACAGTGCGTCTGTTCCCCTGCGGTAGGGTCGTGGAATGTCCCAATTGAGATCCCGCCGCCTCCAATATGAACTGCGCCAACCAGTGCCCATGGGTGGCCGTCGCTTCCGGTGCCAACATTGTAGCACTACCTTGCAGCATGACCATCCTTCGCATCCCTTCCCAGTTTCCAGGCCTCTGTGCTCCTACGGAATGGACATGGACCGCACTATGGTCGGGGAATCACCGCCTTACTGATTTCGCCCAACAGCATGCAGGGCTGACTGATTCCTTCGTCACCCGAGTTGGACATGGCCACTGGCGCAACCAACAGGGGCGCCTTCGCGCCGGCTCTCCAAGGCCACCCTGCCTGTGTCCCTGCTGCTGCAGCCCATTTAGATGCGAAGCCGAGCCAGCAAATGGGGCGCCTCTCATCAATGGACAGCACAGAACTCGGAGTGTCATTCCGTTAAATCATTCATTAACTACGGTTTGGGGCCAATTTTGGCCAGGCTATACACCTTCCGCCCAAGGTCGTCTGTGGCCTCGCGCGTCGGCCTAATTCCTTCAGCTTCTTGCACGTTTCGATCGACACGGAGCCCATTGTCGTCATTCCACGGGCGGTCCGAACAGCGCGGACTGACGGTGAGTCAGGCGCGACCCCAGGCCAGACTCGGGTTCCGGCTCACATAAAGCCTTACGGGCCCCCACACACGCGTTACCTCAGTGTTTGTTCTGCGGTTCGTTGCCGCCCTTGCAGGGTCGACCAGGATGCACCGCCAGGGCAGTTGGAAACATGCGAACGGCGGCTGTTGTGCTGGCGGTGATAGGCGATCTGGTGTCACTAACCCTGGGGCAGGTACGCTGCGCTGTGTCTGGCAGCGCGGCGCCGCCGGAGCGCTTTCTGGCGTCGCGCCGGCACCATTCCGGGATTGTTCGGCGAGCGATTGGATAAACTGATGTCGCTTGTCGACATCGGCAGGTCCCAGACGGGAAATGTGGGGAGAGTTCCGGGTCTGCAGGTGGGTAGATCAACTTGCTGACGCCGCAAGCTGTCACCGCTGTCCTGGCCTCGTTCGCAGCTGTTTTTGCCCGCAAGAGCCTGTCAGATTGGGCCCCAACGCGACGCGGTGGTGTTGCCCCGCAGCCGCCTGGGCACGTGGATGTTCTCAAATACGTCTGGCGCTCTGATCCAGATTGCGAGGCCGTCGAGCAGGGAGGCGGGACGGCAGGAGGTGAGCTTCTGTCGGTCATTCGCAGACAGTGACGCTTCTGCACAGGCCGAGGTTTCGCGCAGCGTTACAGTCCAAATTGCTGTACAACAGGAGGAGAAAGGCTGGGCGCAAAGTGCACCTCCCTGCTGAGCAAGCATAATTGTGAGGCTGTGCTACATGCAATGCGCCGTTGTTGAGCAGGGGTTTGGGCAGCATGATGGCAGCAGGCTGCGAAACTCTTGTAGGCTGTTTTGTTTGCCACGTCTTCGACTGCGGAGACAGTTTCCTAGGCTGCTGATTGTTTTCAGCACGAATCTTGACGGTAGGGATTGCTGTCATGCACACAGATGACAAGCCGGACTCCACTAAGTCGCCCAGGGACAGCTCCTCTTCTGACCACAACGTTGCTGTTGCACTGGTGTTCATATTGCTGTTCGATGTTGGATTCTGCTGCTGCTGCTGGTGCTGCTGCCGAGCCCTAGATTCAGTGAGCAGGCCTCCTGGTCATGGGCGAGCAACAAACAATACTTGGAGAGGAATTCCATTGTGGTCTTTGTTTGAAGAACGCAACGACTCCCAGAATGGGACCGGGGAGCAGAGACCAACAGAAAGATGTGTGCCTGGGCGCAATCGTTCGGTGAGCATTCTAATTTATCAACCAGGTGGTGGAGTAGAAATAGGCGTTCAAGAAGATTGCAATAGGTAGAGACAAGATCTTTGACATGGGCAGGTGAGAACTTGAAGCTGCAGTCCAGGGGTTGTATTTTTGTGCTTTGAGTCTGTTGAGCTATGCCAACACAGCCCTCCCACAATTCCACATGGTTTTCACAAGTTGGACCCTCCACAGACTGCTGGAGGGAAAACTGGGTATCAGAATGGATGTACGCGCATCAACTGAGTATGCCATCCATTGTTCCTGTGATCAGCATCGGATGGGAGCTGTGTGGAGCAGCCAGGAATGAGAGCAACAAAAATGGGTATTCTCTAGTTAGATTGTGGGTTTCTTTATAACTGTAGATCGTCAACTTTACAGACTGCCAGAGCAGCAATGCCACTTGCTAGTGCAGTGGAGCACACTGTAGACACATGTTCACACATTGTTTATTGAATGTAAACAACACGTGCACTCTGTCTCAAAAAATGGAAATACGCCCATTCAGGCGCTTGCTAGAGTCTCTGTGTAGTTTCTGCTTTCGGTGCTTCTATCTGTGCAGCAGTAGCGTTCAGCAGTTAACTCGTTTCAAGGGTGCCTTTGATTTGTGCAATTGTTGTGGAACACTTGTCGCTTGTCCAAATGAGTGAATTTCTTAGTTCTGCAGTATACAATCCTGCAACGCAGTTTCTATGAATGACTGTTTCTGTATGAGTAATGGAGACTGAGGCCAGGTGAGACAACGGCTCCGTCGGTGAATGGGCGCCAGTGGACTGAAGTTCTTGGTATTTTTCAATAAGTAAAGGCGCCTGCTTGCGATGGCAGCGGTATACAATAGGATTTCCCAGCATGCACATCAACTTTGTGGGTTTGGGAAAGAGCACCGTAAAATATATAACCCTTCTGCATCAGAAAATAATTTTCACACTTACTAGTTTTGGTCAGCATTTTCTGGACAGACCATTACTTGTCATTGGCACTCCGCATCATGTCTAACAGGCGCTGGCTGGGCTGAACAAACCCGCTGATCATGTTTCGCGGGGACCTGAGCAGTCAACCGGCACCTTTTTGGCTTGCAACATGGTACCCAAGCAGGGCGCCCCTCTGAGGAGGCATTGTTGAGGGCAAGGGGCAGCACATGTCCATGTCGCAGCAAAGTCGGGGATGGGCCGTTGCAGGTGTACACCGATGCAAACTGAAGCCCCACAGGCGAAGCAATCAAGTTGCTCGACATGCAACGTGGCTTGTTGGACTTGCATGCTTTGCTGTGTGAGCAAAGCGCCCCGGCAATGCAAGCAACGTTTGAAGGCAACAATGCGGGGCCACCCAGCTTCTCATGCACCCAGAAAGGGCTCACTTTTCGCTGCTCTATATTGATTTAAAACGTTACAGAGAACATAGTTTAT